CCCCCCCCCCCCCCCCCCCCCCCCCCCCCCCCCCCCCCCCCAGCAACTCAAAACCAACTTTATTTTTTTTCCGGTGATATGTAATGGTAATGAGACTGGTAGTGTAAACACGCTAACTCTAAGAATATATTTATGTGCGCTATGTTCCATTGTAATCTTTTACTAAATATTTTTGATGAATTTTGTATAGATGATACATTTACCACTAATCGTTTTTCAAGTAGCTGATTACCAATATAATCAGCCGAGTTAGAATTATTCAGTTTACATATCTAATTTCCTCTAATTCAGTTTTAAATAAGCAGATCACAGATGACACGATTACCCCCTCTTGTTTTGGCAACAAGTTTTTCATTTTGAACTGAACATAGGCAAATGTAGAGGAAACTTTGGGCTATAATATGAGACCACTCCCAGCTCTCCACGGCCTTCCTTGAAAAAATTATGAAGTTTTTCATTCAAAGCCTAGAAAATCTCAATTTTTTAGTTTTGTAACTTTTTCTCTCCTTTCCTATATATTCAAATTTTTTTCTTATAAGTACCAAGATAAAAGAAGAAAGTATGCTCTTTCTGCAAAATGAGACGCCTTTCAGAATTTTTCGATGAACTTTCACCGAGATATAAGCATCACCGCAGATGCCCTGAAAAGTAGAGGTCTGTGTACAATATGTGTTTTTCTCACTATGAGCTTTTTCGATATGCCCTTCAATCGGGCCACACTACGATACCTCGAAAAAATGGTCCTATCGAGTTGAAATTTTTACCACAGATACTTCAGATTCTATCTCAGATTCGTTTTTTTAAGCGTTTTCGATTTCAACTTTTGGTGTGAGAAGGTTTTTTATACGGGAGTTTTAGTATTTTTCAAATATCTCGAGAAGAAAAGTATTTTTTGAAAAGACATAAAGAAAATCTGATATAGAGTGTAAAGTATCTGGGGTAAAATTTGCACCTCGATCAGACCATTTTTTCGAGGGATCGTAATGTGACCTGATGGAAACTAGAGTTTTCCAGAAAACTCATAGAAGGGCATGTCAGAAAATTCTGGGTAAAAATACATCAGTTGTCTTTTTCGGTGTTCTATCTCCAGTATAATTTCATCCCGATCAAACATCGGTTTTCAAAAAGATGAAAAAAGCGGAAGGGGTACCCTTAATGATGCTACATACACCATTTTTCTTACAACTGTATGGTACATACGATGTCCATAAAAATATTGGCGAAAGGTAGGATAAAGGAAGAACCGACAAGAAATATTTATTTGCTTGTGCAATTGATTATCAAATAAAAAAATGTGTGTCAGATGTAGCTATTTGAAGTAAAATTTCCAAATCTTTACGATCTTGACAAGTAAATGTTAAATAATTATAACCTAATAGTCTAGCATAAAAATATGCAACGTTTGATATGACTTAAATTTGATCAATATTTTCCATAGGACAGATGAGTAACCTCGAATATGAGCAAAAATAATTTGAGTAAAACGACTTTTAGCAAAAGAAGATGAGCAAAACAATTTTGAGCAAAAAATTAGTTAAGCAAAATGACTTTGAGCAAATGGAAGATGAGCAAAATTGCTTTGGCAAATTTTTATTTTGAGCAAAAATATGAGCAAAAATGAAAAGTACATTGGAAGAACAAAAGAGAAAAAACAGAAAGGACAATTTTCAAATTGTTGTGTGTTATCCATTCTTTGATTTACTAAGGGCGAATGATATAGCTAGCAAAAAATCCATTTCAACTTTTAATTTGATTTAATTTCAACTCATTAATACTAATGGGAAGGTTGAGTCTCTAGTTTTGTTTCAGCATCGTTTTCTTCCTTAAAAATGATATGTCATCTTTCACTAAATGATGACGCATCGAGCAACACTTATCAACTGCTGGAAAAAATGACTACAGTTCTATTATAATTGATACACATATAATCTGTTATTCACTTTTTTGCTCATCTTTCATTTGCTCATCAGTTTTTTGCTAAGAGTAATTTGTTCAAACTCTTGTTGCTTAACTAGTTTTTGCTCAAAATTTTTTTGCTCATATTTGAGTTATTCGATAGATGTAATGTAAATCGTAACACAGTGATTGCTGTATACATATTGTTTTTGATAATGACAAATATATTATCGAAAAATCGAATTAAATAATCTTAATAAGATGCAATTTCAATTAGCTGCTGTGTTAATATCTAGAAACCTGAATTTATTGCTCTTAATTTTGAACATATTTTATTTGAGATTCCACATGTGATGTTCTACGAAGTAATTCCTCTCCGATAATTGATCATATAGATGTTGATAAATTATTATTATTGTGGTCTGTCTTGACACTTAAACACGATCTGGCTCTACTATTTTGGTCACGAACAAAAAATAAGATATGTGCTGCACTCACAGCCAATTTACTTTACACGAAAATTATACAGAATAAAAAGTTTCAGTTTGACAAAGCATTGTATCAAGAGAAAGCAAAGGAATTTGAAGAATTAGCCATTAGTCTATTAGATTCACTGTACAAATTTAACAGAAGAGACTGCATTTATTCAATTGTTAGACAAATACCATCATATGGAAATTGTACTTGGCTAACAATAGCAGCGGAAGCAGATGCTGAATATTTTATCGCTCATAGAGCAGTTCAGGATGTATTAAAAAATATATGGTGAGTTGCACAATAGCAATGACAAGACATAGAATCTTATTATCTCTGGTTTTGTTTGAGGTATGGTTATATCGACGATGAAAGAACATCTGATATTACTGTTATAGTTACATCATTTCTACCATTCCTTAGTGGTTTTCTCCGTTATCGTAACTCACTTATTTATGTAGATTCGAATAAAATGGTTAATGAAGAAGTCAGTTATTAGTTTGTTTTTGATATTCTTAAAGATAATTATGTTGTGCTAACTTTAGTTTTTTGACTGTACTCAATATATGCCATATCAACAACAAGAACTACAGCATATGTTAAGCACGTAAGCAATTGTCAGAATAAATTACCGTTTGTCTGTTATAACTCGTATTGATTTTTATTTTTTTAGTACAGAGTCATTAACTAAACATCGGGATACATTCATTGATTTAGATGTTGACAATATGATCACTAAAGGGTATATTTCATTATTGTCAAAAAAAAATATAATTTTATTTAATCTTTTTTTTATCTTTTTGTTTTACACTTAGACCTCTCCACAGACCAATTGAACATTTGGGAAATATTAAACGTTTCATTCATGCGCCTTATATCAAATATTTGTATAAATTGGTAAACGTGATATTACATTCTTACAGAAAAACATTCTAATGAGCTCTATCGAATTTTAGTATATGCACATTGCGTTTCTCATGTTATTCAGTTATATTTTACTGTGCAGTTTCTATCCTCTTTATTCATTTGGTCATCGAACATGTCCACCAGCTAATACAAAGAAAGAAAATGAATCGGAGATATTTAATGGTACAATAATACACAAATTCTATGCCAAACATAATAAATTACCGTATCTGGAACTTCTGCTTTTAATTTGGGTATTTACGCTATTATGCGAAGAAATTAGACAAGTAAGTAGAATGTTCTTACGAGGAGAGAAATGCCAATATTTTACTTATCTCATGTAGAAATATCTTTTACTCGTGTATGTTATTAAAGTATTGAAGTTGTCAAAGAGATGTATCTTTGATCAAGGTCAACATTACGTAAAATATATCGGGTGCCTCAAAATGATTTCTCGTTTTTTTTGTTTGCATATATCTACTTCAAAAAAATAATAAATTTTAATTTTTTTTAAAAAGATCGGCCATTTAGTTCTCTACAAAAAACATATTGAATATTTTTCTATGTATCTTAAGAATAAGAAAATATGAAGAAAATACTGTAAATTTGCAATCTCGAGTGCTTCCCAGCCCAAAAAACGCTAAGAAACCAATGTATTTTGAGCATGTTGCCATACATCAAAGTGAACTAAAATATATGTTCGACTTGCCCTGAGCGTTGTCTTTCTTTTCATATATCAAATATTAGTTTTAAAGGTGTTTTTCTTGCACAAACAGCGATTTTACGAAAACTGATCGTAAAAACGAGAAAATTTGATTTTTTCATCTTAGCACAATAGCAGTAACGGAACTATTGAAAATTTTCCCATTGGATGTACGAGCAGAGTTATTTTCCTTCAAAATAAAACAAATCCGACCTCAAAATGTTCGATTTTGGCCCAGTTCGAAAAATTCCCTCAAGTGACGCAAAATACATCGACCTGAAATGATGATCTTGGGCAAGAAGAAAAACAGACAAGAAAATTTGCTCCCATTCGCCTTTTGATGGTAAATAATTTAAAATATTGGCAGTCAATATAAGGAGAAACACTTTTCAGCGTTTCCGAATGAAGTTTGACGTAGAAATTTAACGTTCACCTTCCCGAGGAAGCTTAAAAGCTAAAAATATTTTTCACCTCACGTTACGGCTAGTTTCGTTCGAAGCAAGGATTTTGAAGCAAAACTCTGAGTATAAAAGTTGTTTAGAATTGAATTCTACAGTCCCTAACGAGAGGTTTTTTTAAATTGTCCTTTTTTGGTTTTTACATTGAAAAATACGAAAGTTTAAAACTTTAAAAACCGTAAAGTTTAATTTAAAAATCAAAAATGGACAATTTAAAAAAACCTCTCGTTAGGGACTGTAGAATTCAATTCTAAACAACTTTTATACTCAGGGTTTTGCTTCAAAATGCTTGCTTCGAACGAAACTAGCCGTAACGTGAGGTGAAAAAATCTTCGCTGAGCCAAAAACCAGCGATATCTTCAGGTTTTAAATTTTTTCTTTGAGCTTTCCCAGTTTGTACAGGACACTTCGAAGTATATGTCCTGAAGGTTTTTTCGGGTTACTGACATTATCTGGCTGAGAAAAACGTTAATTACTTAAAAAAATGTTGTTAAGTGTTTTAGCATGGGGCTGTTATAAAAAAATTCTAATGACTGAATTGACTTCTAAAATTTTCTAAGCTAGTCTATCTTGTAGCCGGTGAAATTCTCTATTAGATGAAGTATTGTTTAAAGTTTTCGTTGAGTCCTTATTTTGCAAATGGGACGGACAGTAAACTAGTAGAGTAGGCTAAATTAACGTTAGTTAGTACTAATTAGTCAATAACAGAAAGTAAAGAACACAAATTTTTCCATATTTTATCGTAGTAAATATTCTTCACACGTTTCTATACCGATCTAGCGAAGAATCAAGTTTTTATGATGAATGGAGAATGGACAAGAATTTTTTTAATAATAGTCCCATGCTCAAAAATTTTACAACATTTTTTTAAGTGATTAATTTTTTTCTCAGCCAGATAATGTCAGTAAGCTGAAAAAACTTCAGGATATATACTTCGAAGTATTCCCTACAAACTGGGAACGTTAGAGGAAAATCTAAATGAGGGGAATCTTCCTTAAGAAGAGAATTTTAATACAAGAGAGAGAGAAAAAAGCAGAACTCTTAGAATTTTCTGTCGTGGTTCGGCTTATTTTTTCTTGTTCAGTTACTTTTTTTGTAAAATGTGCGTTGCGTGATGCATATATTCTCTACATGTAATAGGACGCCAGATGATATTTGACTTGAGTGGAAACATTGCTGATGTCGCGAAGACGGTAGTCAATGATAGCGGAATAGTACGCTACGTAGAAAACTTCCAAAAACGGGAGGATAGTCTCTGGATACTGCAGATTGACAACTGTACGTTCTTTTTTCAAACATTGATAACTAGAATTGATAACTTTTGACAACTGTCAGGAGAGACAGAGTCTGTCAACATCGTACCTTGTGCACAGCACAATTGCTCACTAGTTATTTTTGTTTTGCGAAATGTTCACGACGTGATCTAGAGAATTACGCTTTGTATGTATATCTTTGTACATCGTTTTTTTAATAATGACTTGGATGCATAGCCGGAAGGTCCAGAAGTAGAGAAGAAAATATGTTAAAAACTTAGAAAATTTTCATATCTTTGTTGTGCGGCGGCGCCATTTGTAATGAAGAAAAAACGAATTCTACATTGTAAAAGTTTGAGAGTGACAATCATTTTCAATATCTCTCTCTATTTTTCTACGCGATTTTACTGAAAACAGTTTGTCAGAAATTCTCTAATTTTTTCTGTACAGAATTGTGGGAGTCTGTCGATATCGCAACTTGTGAATAGCACAATTGCAATCTAGTTATATTTTAGGAATGAGATAAATGCAAACAAAAAAAACGAGCAATCATTTTGGCACACCCGGTAGTAGTATAAATCGAGCTCGTATATTTCAAGGAGAGGAAAAGCACCACTTCACTTCCACTTCAATTGAAGTGAACTAGAAATAATTTTGAAGTGTTCATGAAGTGAACTAGTGAAGTGGAAATGAAAAACATAGAGATGGGTAAATAAATTAGAGAGATGTTAGCCGATGTATTTTTGTTTAACGTGACAAAGCAAAGCTTAAGCTTAAGATAAGCAAAGTTTATGAATAAGGGATTTAATTAAGGTCAATTCACCTTGTATGCATGTAGTAAATAAAGTTGAGGGTGGAGAAATAAATAGATTTGTCAGACATAAAAAAAATCGAAAAAATCCATTGAAATAACAATGTCACAAATTGACTTGACTAGAAGTGAATTGGCTTTCATGCGAAGTGAACTGAAGTAAAGTAGCGAAGTGGTGCTTTTTCCCTCTTGTTACATTTACATTCTATTAGAGTTTAACATTTTATTCTTTATCTCTATTTTTTTGTTCATTAGTTTTTTACAAATGAAGCTCGAACGTATCAAGGCAAAGTACGTTCGTATTTTGTGAATGTATGGAATGTAGTTGATATTGTAGCCATTGCACTATTTTTTATTGCATTTATATTACGTATATTACCTAATGAAGATTGTTTCTGTACAGCTAAGTATGTACACTAAAATTATAAATTATTATTTTTTTTTCAATAATCTATTCTTTCATCTATTATAGAATTATTCTTGCACTCGATCTAAGTATTTGGTATATGAGAACGTTGGACATTTTTTTTGCTGTACCAAAATTAGGTCCAAAATTAGTCATGATTGCAGAAATGGTCAGTTTATACATATTGATTATAAAATGAGAGAATATATTTATTATTTTTATATTTTTATTTAGATTCATGATTTAAAATTTTTTGTTTTAATGTTAACTGTATTCATGTTTGCATTTGGTGTACCGGCTTATGCTCTCATACATGGTGTTGAATCGTTTACATGGCATTTACCACGAAAAGTATTTAATGTTGCCTATTGGCAAATATTTGGTGAAGTAACCGTTTTAGATTTGATTGAAGGTAGTCATTAATGAATATTCTTACTTTTTCTTTTTCTCTTTTGTATAGAATATTGAATTTTTCTAGATAGTTATGGACCACCTGGTTATTTAACATATTTTCTTTTGGTTTGTTATATGGCGATTGCTGCCACATTATTGGTCAATTTATTGATTGCAATGTTCAGGTATATTTTAAGATAAAATTCAATTTTAATCTTTTTTGATAGTGTTCATATTATTTTTCTAGTAATACATTTAATGTATATCAGGAAAATACCGATTATATTTGGAAATATCAACGATTCAATTTAGTTTGTGAATATTTAAATCGTCCATCATTACCACCACCATTCATATTTTTTTCACATATATGGAGATTATTTCTTTTTCTCGGATCACGAGTTTCCAAAGCTCCAAAATGTTTAAAACAAATGTATAGAAATCATTTACAACAATCAAGATTCAGTATGTAGACATTTATTTTTTCGTTTTAGACTCGTACCTGACATTGAGTGAGAAAATGAGTATACCGAAAAAAGTTAAAAAGAAAAATACTAAACGACTAATATTAAAAATCAATTAAATATTTTTCTTGTTGTAAGATAGAAAAATATTTAAATAAAGTGCAAAAGTTAGGTTCCGCATATTCGTACCTTCTTGGTAGGTTCAAATTGCGACATCAGTTCCTTTATTTAAAATGAGAAAAACGGGATAGAAAAATATTAAAGTTTTTCGCACAGGATAGAAAAATATTTAGTTATTTTAAAATAAAGAAAAATTATTTAATTAAAGAAAAATATTGAACGAACTAATATTTAAATAAGATGGAAAAATATTTAATCGATTTTTAATATTAATCGTTTAAGATTTTTCTTTTTAACATTAGTCTGTAGATCCGAGAAAACAACATATCTTTGTTAATAAAAAAAAGTTATCTAACTTATATAAGCAACGGAATTTTTTATTATTTTAGAAATGATTCTTAGTCCAAAAGCTTCTGCTCATTTGGAAGAAATCGAAGATGCAAGAGGTGATGAAATTTACTTTCTATATTTAAAAAAGAAGAGACAACAACAACAAAGCTCTCACTCAACTTCGACTACAACACCATCAGCTGCAAACACTATGGACAACGTAGCCGACTCAAGAGAAGAAAAAATGTACGTTGTTCAAAGATGACAGAATTTACCAAGTTTAATAAAAAAATTTCTTTATTTCAGAAAATACAAGTTAGATGCTGCAGTAAATCATTTAGTTTCATTAGAAGATAGAATGCGCATAATGGAAACTAAAGTAATAACTAGAATAGAATCATTAATAGATATAAATCCATTTTCTATTTTTTAGCAAGAAAAAGTTATGAATTATCTGGAAAATATTATAAATGGTATCAAGTCAATTGGTGGTAATATTGTTAGTACACCATCGGAGGAAACGACAACATCGCCAGATGTGTAGCAGCAAAGCTACAACATATCTATGGCTCAAAGATATATTACTGGTACAGTCAAAAAATTTAAAAGAAGACTCGCAAAAAATTTGATTTTAGATCGAAAAATCAATAACCTCTTCCAGAAATTGTATCGCTTTAAACTTAACGATTGATTTTTCAAGGATTTTACAAAAATTTTCTCGAATGCAGGAGAAAGAAGGTTGTAAAAGATTACCACTACTCTCACCTGTTATCTGTTGATTTTTAATTTGTTAAATAAACGTTTTCTTTAAAATAATTCGTCAACACAACTCTGTTACCGCGAGAAACGCAAGGTCCTTTTCCTCCGAGGTCTTCAGATGTATCACTCACTATACACTTTCATTAGTAGATTTGAAGCTGATGTTCAGTAAGGTACATCATTCCTCCTGAACAGTTCAAGGTAGACTGAAATATTTTTCTTGTTTTCAAACCAAAATAAAAATAAATGAGGTGACTGAAACTGATTTTGAAAATTCCCATTTGTTTTTCACAGAACTGAAAAAAGTTAGTTCAGTTTTTTCACAAATCTTTCAAGTGCATGACAAAAGACAACGAAAAAATGATTCGGCCGTATTCAGATCTAGATGGCTACTATCCATTTTAAAAGAGAATGGATTCGGTTGCTTTTTTAACAACTTCAGAACAAAAGGTTGTAAAGAACTGCGACTTTCGCCATTTTGTAGCAAAAACTTTCCAGGTATAGGAAACATCTTTAGCAACAATACACAAAATGCGTTTTTACCAAACGCGAGAAGAAAGGATTCGTAAAAGAGCCATTTAAACATTTACTTTTAGAACATCTTTGTTAATAGTGTTTACAAAATTGTTGAAACTCGTTTATTTTATTAAAAAAGCGTTTTAACGATATCGTTCTGAGAGCTGTTTCCAAAAAAATATGCCCTCAAAATTGGTCAGTTTATGGAAAATACCTTCAAGAGTCTTGCTGTGCAATAACTCGCGGGTTGGACATATTTTGGTAGTGTAGTGGAATTTTCAAAAATCAAAAAAGTCAATTTTGATAAGTCCTAATTTGTAGGGGGGTCAAAAAGTAATTTGTACAGAATGCCGTGTGAATGAAGTATTTATAATAATGCGTGAGAATAAGGAACTTTTAGGAACCTCAAAACTAACCGTAAAATAGGTAATCGACCATGTGGAGTCTCGTAGCAATGTTTGTTTCATGTAAAAAGTTGAAAATCCTAGTGAAATGCAATATTTTCCGAAATATACAGTTTTAGGCTATATTTATTAAACTTTGAAATTAAATATATTTTCAAGTACGCAGCAATTTAGTTCGAGATTGCTCCCTCAACCATCTAAATCTTTTCTACTTTCTTTTGTCATACTATTGAACTATCTTTAATGTAAAGAGAACTGTGAAGAGAACTTGCACATGGTATTTGCAGAATAGAAAATTGACTATCGTTTGCACTAATAACAAATCCTTGGAACCTAAGTGTATATAGTAACTAATACGATATAAAACTCATTCATCATTTTTGTGATGCCGATCATTAACAAGAAAATAATGCGAACAATGTTATTTTTCCAGTGAGTATGAATTAGATAACTACAAAATTGTTACACTATGCAACTCTAATAAGTAGCAATCTGGAATGTACTTAAGTAATGAAAAAGGTCAAATATAAGAAAAATTAAAGTCGGTTCTTTTCATCGCAGCTTTAATCTTCACTTGCCTTCATTGTTTGTTATTTTTTATACGAAATACATATAAATACCAAGATTGTTGTGTGTTGTACTCTCTAAAAGAAAGGTTTATTACGCAGCTTAAAAGAGAAGTGCAACCATTTCTAAATCCTTTTAGATTTCGTAGAAGACATGGTGCAGTACGAAACCTTTAAGTGCATAAATTCTAGCAGTTTTTTTTCTAAAAACTTTTTTCTAAGTAGCAGTTTAGGCGTGTTTTCATTGTATAGGGCGGCGAAAACTGAGCCAAAAAAATATCTGAAATTTCTGTAGTTTTTGATTTTTCGAGAAAAAACATTAAAAAGTAAGGAAAAAACATTAAAAAAAATAAGCAAGTGCACTGATCAATCGTTTCAATGCACTTAAAACGGTTTCGTACTGTACCTTGTCTCCTACGAAACCTAAAAGAGTTCAGAAATGGACATTAACAATGCAAACGAACAGCTGTATCGCTGTTGTCAGTAGAAAACAAAATGAATGTGTCAAACAAAGTTTAAACAAGTTTCGTGCGTATCTTAATAGATTTTGCATTTATCTACGAAACCTTACATTCACCAAATTAAATACGAAACCTTTCCTAGTTTCGTATATTGAGCACAAAATCACTTGATCCACACAACTTCTAGAGATTCAGTAAATAAACGCGAAACCATTCAAAGTTTAGAAATGATCCACAAAACCTTTTGAGGTGTTGTAGGGAATCATTTATTTTTAGAGAGTATGCAACGCACAAATATTATTTTTCTTGAAAGAATAAAGATGCCTCAAAAAGGTCTTAGCACATCAGAACATTAATGAATGAGATCTTTACTTTTTGTTTGAAAGTTATTTAGAAAATAATAAAGATCGTTTTATTTTTACTTTGAACAAACTAAATTTTTGTATGTACGATGCAACCTTTTAGACTGGAATTTTTATCATAGACTGCTCTCATCATGAGGTTTCTTTTCTGAGAGGCTCATTTGATTCGAGGACATGATGTTAAAACAGACGCGCTAAGATATCTACTGTTAAGAATTGATTCTACTAGGTATAACCAGATGAAATTCATCTCACAAGATCATGTAGGATATGTCGTTTTCTTATGAAATTTTGTGACAAGATCTCACTGCATGGCCTTACAAGATCTTGTCTCAAGCTCGTGTAAAATTATGCGGAATCTTGTGACTTCTTGTCATAAGATCTCAAAAGATCAAGTCATAAGAAATAACAAGATCATATAAGATCTTATGACAAGAAATCGTATGATCCTGAAAGATCTTGTCAGCGAGAGTATCACAAGATCTTATATGATCTTGCAAAAAGTAATGACCCATTCTTACCACATAAATTTTGCTACAATATCTAGTATATATACAACATCATTCTTATGACGAAACTTAGACTTTTTCTTTAACTTCAGACATCAGCTGAACACAAACAAAGTACGACTATACAGCACCTGGTCTGACACGAGTCTTAAGAACATAAGGGTTTTGCAAATGCTAGAGTTATCAAAAACAGTGTGTAGAGGGAATCTGTAGGACATTCTTGTAAGATCTGATAGTATTTTATAAGATCTTGAACGCGCATGTGATCTCTTGTGTTATAATCTTGGACGATCATTTGATAGGATCCGTCGACCTTGGTAAACTTCAAAAGGAAAACTTTTGTTCAGAATCAGAGTTATATATTTTTCTTGTCAAACAACATTAAAAGGGGGGGGGGAGGGGGTCCTTAAAACGTCTGAAAAGTTTTCTCACGACATAGGTTTTTTAAGTGAAACATTGTAAAAAGAGTGTTTTTTCTACTTTTAACCATAAAATGTATCTTTTTAATTTTAAAATTTTTTAATTAATAATTTTTTAAAGTTTATATCGTGAAAACAGAAAAACTAATCGTCTTATTCCACGTAGAATTTTACAGAGAACAACTTTTGTTCCAACAGTTTTTATGAGCTATGCTTTGCGTAGTCAGAATCCATGGTAAGGTTTTGGGGCGCGTATTCCTGCAACAATGGCTTCTGAAATCCCCAGCAATTATTGTCATAATCAATAAGTTTTAACTGTAACATAGTGACTAGATAGTCCAAAGTGGTCTCTACAATTCTGCGTAAGGCCGACCTCTCCATCTAGTGTAGTTCTCGAATGGCAGGCATTTGCCCGACGAAATGATAACGAATTATGGGTGACTCAAGAAATGACTGCCATTCGAGAACCACAACAGATAGAGAGCTCGGCCTTACGCAGAATTGTAGAGACCACTTTGGACTATCTAGCCACTGTGTTACAACTAAAAATTCGCTATAGATTCAGAATCTTGCTACCCAATCAGTCAGGTACACCACCTGAAAAACCGAGATTTTACGTAAACAATATATGCAAAGATACAGTACAGCCTTCTCTACAAAATGCTGAAAACCCGAACTCTCTATTTCTTTTCGTTCTCGAGTTATTCAAAAAACATCCATGGCAGCTCTATACAGAAATCCATAATAGAAACCCCGTTTATATAAAACCGAGTACAAATAACTGTTTATCGGTAACATTTTGAAAAGCCAAATACAGAGATTTGTAGCGCTTGGAAATCTCTCTCGAATGACGTATTATTTTACTGTTTCCAATAAACTGTTAATTTGTAAATAAAACTGTCCGGCATCAGAGTGATATTAATTAGTATACGTTAACATTGATTAATTATAAATTATTGTCTTAAAAATACTTCTTTCCCTAAACCATAACAGCAGACCATTGGCTATCAAGCAATGCATGAATGACTTTTCTAGGATTATTTTTGACTGAGCTACAAGTTTTTTAAAATGACAACTATGACCTTAAATTTTAATTCAAATTTAAACTTAATTAATTAATAACTCTGTGAATCAGTTCATCGAAAAAACTGAAGAATATATGTAATCAGGTGTTCTCTTCAAACTGACATAGTTTGAAGGCACATATAGGGAATGGATACCCTTTTCCCTTCCCATTAATTCTCACTAAGAAAAAGAGACGAAATATCCCAATAAAAATCTTTTCTAAAACAACTTCTATTCATTGTACACAATCGAATAGATGTTATTTTTAAGTTTTAAATATAGTCTCGTGTTCATGTAGTATAGAATAACATTTCATTTAATGTTCGTATAATGAACGTATTTTTATCTTGAAAATAAATCATTGACCATATTGGTTCATTATAATGTATTGTTTTGATTTTCTGTCCATTATCATCGATTAAAAGTAAATTAGATGATTGTGCAATGTCTTGATGAAAACTGTGATTAATAACTAGACAATAATTTTGTATTGTTGGTAAACAGACCAGACCATGAGTTCTAACATCAATGAATTTTGTTGCACGAATAATATTCATTGTTATACAATTACGTATTTCTAATCGATTTTCGATTAATAATGCTAATTGAGTTTTATTTAAAAATCGAATACATTTAACATTATCATCTTTATCAAATAGTTTTGTCCATCGATTAATTAATTTCCAATCTTGTATATTCCATTGTTCCAATGGAGAATTTGGTCTGTTAAAACTAAGAAATAAAATGTTGTCTATATTTGTACAACTTTTATATTCACCTTCATTTGAGTGAATTTGTTTTGAACTATTATGTACTTGTAAATCAAATGGATTTACTGTAAAAATATATTCTTTTGTTAATAAGATAAATTGATCTAATAATTTGAGCCAACACATATCAACAATATCGTCTTCCTTATTCCATTTAATAATTTGTTTATTTTTACATACATAATCAATTAAACATAAAGTTTCTTCAGTGTCCTGATATAAAATACGATTATCCGATGCACAAATTAAACCACCATATTCATTTTTTATACGCATAATTTTATGAGGTTTTTGAATAATTAAATTTGCAAAATAGTGAAGTTGTTGTGTTTGAGGTTGAACTCGCTGCTGTTGATTTTGCTGAACAGGTTGTTGATATTCAGATAATTCTTGCTTTAGTACTAATGGCATACGTTTTATAGTACTTGTAACCGTTTTACCATTCCATTTGACTGTAATCATTTTTGACCAATTAATTGTTTGACTTTGTTCTGTATCAATCTGAACGGCATTATTTACTTTTTGTTGAATTTGATCAAGTTTTTGATTCCATTGTTTAAGATCACGTTCATTATAATTATCATGAGCACGTTTTACTTCAAATTCATTTGTTAATTGTTGAAAATCGTTTCGTATTTCATTTTGATAATCATGTGTTATACTCGATATTGTATTACGAGCTTGATTAGCAGCAGATTTAATACGTTGAACCATATCATGTTCCCAACGATTTATTTTACTAATTAATATTGTTTCGATATGTTCAATAACTGCATCACTCTCATCTTTCGATTGATAATGATGATTTCGTTGATTAACAAGAATTGTCTGAAAACAAAACAAAACAAAAAACTTAACAAGTAAGAAGTAGAGTCAAATATAAATAAAATATTACATGATTCTTTTCACGTTTATCATCATTGTGTTCATAAAAATTCTCATGTCCTCCAATAATTTCTTTATTAACTACAGCATGTTTTTCAATTACATTATTTAGATCATGTTTAAGTTCAATTTGATGTTGTTTATAATGTTTATTACAAAATTGTTTATCACATTTTGTACATATCACCATAACAGTACCAGTCTCTTTACATATACTGCATTGATGCTTAACAGGATTGTGATTTCGAGGAGTGATCACTTGTTTCTTCTTAGTAGACATAATAAATGATCTAAACAAATTTTTAATTGATAATCTTAAGAAAAAAAAGTGTTCAATTATGGTTGATATACGAAACTAAAACTATTTAAAAATATAAAATCATTTTTGTACGAATAGAAATAGTTTAACATATAAACTAAACTTTGCAATAAACTGTCAGTTATGGTTGAATACTAACTGATTAAAAATTACAGAAAAAATTTAAATGAATAAATATCGATCAACGTTTTGTTGTTTTTTTTTGTTCTTCTCTTCAATTTTGATTATTTTCAATTGAAAAGAATAATATTAAATTCTTTTAATTCACACGTCCTTGTTGACTTGAAAATTTTTTAGTCGTTTTTCATTTATGATTTCAAGAGTTTTTTTTCAAAGTGTATTTTTTTCACTTTTATAATAATCACTGTATTTGAGTCAAACATAACGATGAAAAGAACATTTGAATTTGTCATAAAAATAATAACAACAACAAGACTAAATGCCAATATTGTAGCAACAGTCTTGAGAGAAGAAATATTATATATGCAGTTGAATCTCTTTTATAAATGAATGAAGACTTAAACTCACAGATAGAATCTATAGTACTCATATTTGTATTTTATGAGTTAATTTTTGTTTGAAATATGGAAAAGAAATACTTAAGTACATGATTTCATGAAACGAATTTTCTGATTACCTCTCTCAAAAAATCTTTAATATTTTTACAAAATCGAATATTGTAAACTATTAAAACTGTTCGTTGCTGGAAAAAAAAATGAAAAAAAATTTTTATTTATTTATTTTTTTTGAAACATCATTCGAAACGATACTCGAGAAAATATTTTTTTCGTATGCATACGTAAAAATTCATATATATTCGCCCATCTTTGAACTTTATCTAATCAAATATATCTTACTTTTTATTTATTTTCAAAAATATTTGATAATGGTATTAATCTATCGGATATATAAAAAAAATATTTGTAAAAAAATTAAAAATAGAAATAAAAAAATAGTTGACTTTTACTAGACTACATTACATAAAGAAACTAGAATAAAAAAAAAAAAAAAAAAAAACAGAAGAAAATGACTGAGATCTTTATTATCGTTTTCCGGTAACAAAATATGTTTTCATTTTATTTTTTCCCTTTACATCTACTTCTCCTCTTAATTCAAATGTATATCGATCACTCAATGTTTGAGCAACATGTTCTGGTACTTGAATGAAATTTGCTTGTCCTGTTGAATCCATTCTCGAAGCAACATTCACCGTATCACCCCATATGTCATAAAATAGTTTTGTTGTTCCAATAACGCCAGCAGTTACCGGTCCATAATTGAATCCGATTCGAAGTTCAAAAACAAAATAGAGTAAAGCTTTATTAAATGATTGCATTGTCTCTTGAAATTGTAAAGCAAACTCCATCAGATTGTATACCGGTTCCAGACTATTACCTGATTCACCTAAATACAAAAAATAAAAATAATATTTTGATAATAAAATTTTATTTTTATCATTTATTTTTCTTAACTTACCTTGAAGGCCACTTGCAGCCATATACGTTGAACCAATTGTTTTTATTTTTTCAATTCGTTCAAAACGTTTACTTAAAAATAATTCTTCAATATCTCCATAAAATTCATTAAGTACTCGAGAATAAAATCTTCCACCTTCAAATTGTTCTTCGTACATAACATGAAAATTTATTAATGTAGCAAACATTACTCCAACACATTCATGATTTTTTGAATATGTACCACCTTTAAGTCTCAATGGTTCAATGACATGTTCTGGAAGAATATTTCTCAATAACCAATCAGCTCGTTCACGTTCTTTAACCATTTCTAAATGCTGTTCATTAGATTTATAATCAATATAGAATAATTCACGATGTTTTAATTCTAAATGACGACTAATTAAATGGACTAAAATAGTAGCTAATAAAATATGAAGAAAAAATTCATAAAAATTAAATTCATTTAACACCATATATCCTAAATAAAAAAAAATAAATTGACTTATTTAATCTTTTATCAAGAGTTGATAGAAAACTGAAAGATAAAGATAAAACTGATCAATAACTAACTATTGTAAACAATTTTTAGGAAAAAGAGTTGTGTATTATTATAAATTATCAACTTACTCTGAGATATTTTCAATGTAATAATTGAAAGAATTGCATAGAGAATTATAAATAAAATTGATAATCCTAGTTTATATAAATAACTAATTATACCCGAATAAAGTGTATAGTGCACGGTCAATATTGCTATGATTAAACAAGGTAAGATGTAATTATCATTAGTTCGATATTTAAGATAAATTAATAAATAAATCATCAAATTGGGAAACAGAAAGTTGAATGTGGCTATGAGATATTTTAGTATAGAAGACAAACGTTTATTTTGACTATAAAAATAAAATAGTAGACAAACGAGTACTAGTTCAATAATTAGAAAGATAATTGAGGGTATAATCCAACACAAATACCATCTAACACCGATAAATAATGATAAAAAGCCTATTAATAAAATTATAAATGATAAAAATGAATCAAAACATAGATTAAATGCGGTATTTGAATAAAATAATGGAGGGTTTATTATACCTGAAAGAGAAAATACAATGCTTATAAACACAAGTAATGTTCGTCTTCAATTCACTCGGTTACTGATGTTAAATGACAATGATCGTCTGTTTCACAAATAGTTAATGAATGCGGGCAGATATCTGCAAGGTAGAATTTCAAAAAGCAGTAGAAATTCAAAAGTTTTCGGAAGATTCATGGAGATTCTCAGGTGGCAGATACCATGTTCAATCTTCATTTTACATCAAAACCAACTGAAAAATAAAAATAAACCTAGGAGGTGTTTTGGAGATTTAGTGAAGAGATCCTACAAGTTCTGTGTGAGGATCATTAGATTCTCCATACGAAATTATTTCTAGTTCATATATTTCAGCTAGCTAGACCGTTTGTCTCTCTATAGTTATTCTATTTTTGATTTGTTTGCATGGACAGGCAGACAAAACATTTTATTGTTTTATGATCCTGACTAACGTCAAAGGAAACAAATGAGGAGAAGAAAAGAGAAATCTTCTTCTGACGTACTATGTTGTGATTGTTCAACCGATTTTCGTCCAATATTTTGTTCAGCATAGGACTTTTCTAATTCTTTGTCCGTAAAACAAAGTGTTATTGATGACATGGGAATATGTAAAGTTTGCATCAATTGAGACTGATCTATAAATCCATCGGATGTTATTCCCTCACCAGCATTCAAAGAACACATGGTTAAACTTCGTCCAGTTTTCTCTGGCTGAACAATAACTGTTGTTAATTGTGCATCATTTGACACTGTCGAAGATTCATTATCAATTAACGGAGCAGGTAGAGTGTTGTCAGTCAATGTATTTGACCGAGCACGATTTACTTCTTCTAATAATGGACTTGTCACATTCTAGACGCACACAGTCACAGGCAATAATATTTTAGCAGAAAATTACGCGTTCTTACTTGTTGACCATCCGCTATTTGTTCTTGATTTATTTGGGCTGACTCAATCAATGGAACAGCAATATTTGATACACCAGATGCAACCTAATAGTAAAAAATACATCGAATTTTATCATTCATATATTCTATATTTTACAAAATCTTTACCGCAATAGCTGCGGCTGTTGCAGCAGTCATTGGTGGAGGTTTTCGTGTTATCCGATGATCTAGTTGACGTTTTTTTATAAAATAAGTTGACACAACAGCTAAAATATGCATAAATAGCAGTTACAAATAGGATGAGAAGAGTTATGATGTCTCTTTATACCATGATTGTATAACTGATATGGTTCTCCTGGTTCAGCATTATAATTATTTTCTAGTAATTTATAGGTTGATTCTGTTAAATGAACGTAACCTAAACATGTAGGATAATACACTAGATTATTGCAATACAATCTATCACAAAGAGTAAGAGATATGTAAGTAACATGCAAATTAAGATAAGGTAAGAAGGCGATCTATTAATAAGTTTAGTTTGATTTGAAGACTATGTCTCATCTACCAAGCATGCGAGTTTTAGAATAATGTGAAAGAACCACCTGTTTCTGGCATACAAAAGCTAGAAACAAATAAAACAAATTCACAATGCTCGCCAAATACTCTTTTGAAAAAGTGGGCACTGCCAGTTTTTAAAAGTAACTCCCCCATTCCTCATAATAACTTAGTTGATTACATAGTTGGAAAAGACGCGTTTGACTGTGTAATTTTTAAGACCTGAATTTGTACAGTTGTTGAGGAAATGGAAAAGTCTGCTTTAATGCAGATATTTATATGTTGCTCGTATAATGCAAACATTTGTTTTTTGGTAATCTTCTATATTTTTCTGAGTTTTCATGAGAATCGGCGTTGTTTTTGAAAACTGGTAGCGCCCTTTATATGGGGAACGTTTTAAAAGCGTTGCCCGTTCACCATGAAAGGAAATCTTTCTCTGAAGCTCACCGGGTTTGCCAGATGACTCCATTTTGTTTGCCAGAGTAACATCATTCGAAAATATATCAAATTTAAATTTTTTCGTTCCAATAATCCCACAATTCACCGATCCTGAATGCACTCCCACTCTCATGTCGACACTTTCATTATTATCTTGATCAAATTCTTCGATGGCATTTATCATAGACAATCCCATTTCGATACAACATTTCGCATGATCTCGCTGAGGCTCGGGACATCCACTTACACAATAGTAACAATCACCTAATGTAGCAATCTTCTCACAATTCATCCGAAGGCATAAATCATCAAATCTTCCATACAAATCAGCTAAAAGACGAACTAATTGATCAGCTGTTTTATTCGATGACATACTGGTAAAACCGACAATATCCGCGAATAATATTGAAACATTTTCCATTCTGTCCATATGTAACGGTCGAAGGACAGCTGATTCACTATTTCCATTTGGCTGTTGATTTTGTTCTATTGACGGTGAGGATGGCTGCGAGCTGATATTTTGAATACGTTGACGAAAAAAATCAAAATCTTTGGTGATATCTTTAGCATATTTCGGTGGCATTAGAGAATCGATCATTTTTGAAATTAATTGATGTTCTTGTAGTAGAGATGATCGAGTATTTTGATCTAAATAAATATGAATAAGGTATATTTAACAAGACGACATCCAGAATTGGTGCACTTCCAATCGAATTTCATATCTAACGAGAGAACAGTTTCAAGTTTTGCTTCGCTTTTTAGATGAAAGACATGGGAGTATAGGTAATTAATGATGCTGATTCCGAATATGAGCATGAGAGCGGCAGCTAGGTTCTTTAAAACTCAGTTTTCTGCAAAACCGGTTTTTCAAGGTTAATTTTTTTTAAATCAAATTCTGATCTTTTCTGATTGTAGAACATGTCCAGTTGTGTATGTGAATAAATTTTTTCGACTATCGAACATGTTTTGACAAAGTTATAATCATATTATAATTTTAACTCATGAAACCGTGTATAGTAAAACATGAATTGTTTCATAATATGATTATAGCTTTGTCAAAACATGTTCGATAGTCGAAAAAATTTATTCACATACACAACTGGACATGTTCTACAATCAGAAAAGATCAGAATTTAACTAAAAAAATTAACCTTGAAAATTAAAACGCTTAAGAGCCAATAATTTGATTAGAATATTCCTTTTTTAAATTAACAGC